CTCGCGAGAGCCGCGCGGTCCGGCGCGCGCGGGCCGCGCCATGTCGGATGCCGTTGGGCGCAGCCGGGGCCCCGCCCCGCCCGGCGGCCCCAGCGCCCCGCACTGAGCCCGGAAGCGTTTCCCGGCCGCGCTCCCCGGGACCCCGCTCCTCGCTCCAGCCTCGGCTCCCCGCGCCCGCTCCCGGCGGGGCAAGCGCCTCTCCCTCCCCCCTTCCTCAGCAGGAGCGGGGGGCCCCCCGCGGCGGGGCCCGGGGCACAGCCGGGGGGCGGGAATGCAGCCGCCGGAACCGCAGCCGCAGCCGGAGCCGAGCCCCCAGCGCAGCACGGTGAGGGGGGCGGTGGTGCGGGAGAGGTGTGGGGGGTGAATTCGGGGGCGGGCAGGGCCGGGAGTCCGTGAGGGAGGTTCGGGTGGCACCCCSCGCTCCCCCCGTCCCGCCGGGCTGTGGGTGTCCCCCCTTCTCCCGGTGGGAGCGGGCTGGAGCCGTCCCGGGGGACACAGCCGGGCTGCCCCGGGGAGCAGGGGCTGTCCTGCCCTGCGTGGGCCCGGGTGTGGTGACGGGAGGCGGCTCGTGTTGATCCTGGCTCCTGTTTTGCTGCCGCACTCCCACGCACCGAGCAGGGAAAACTTTGGTCTTTGTTTTTGAAGCCCTTTGCGGAGCGAGGCGGGCGGACTGCCCGGGGATCCCGTAAGGGTGTCCCCTCAGCAGGGTCTGTGSTGTCTGCTGGGCCACTGATGCTGCTCTTGCTGCGTAAGAATAAATAAATTAATTAATAAAAAGCAAATGGATTCRCAGGTAAACGCTGCCACTGCTCCTTGGACGTGACTGCAGCGCGATGCTGCTGCTGCTGTGCCTTGGCTCTAGAAATAGAAGGCCCCCAAAGGTAGCAAGGCCTTAGCTGTGCTCTGTCCAGAGTCTTGGCTTCAGGTTGGGTTTGAGATCTTATCGATTGTATTGGCTCTGAGGAAGATTAACTCGAGTTTCATTTTAAGGTTTTGGTTTGTTTTTATTATTTTTTTTTATGTAGGTGGATATGGTGGATGGATGCAGCTCTTATTTACAGCTTGATACTGTTCAGTGTTRGGACTATGCAGTCACTGTGCTTTTCCTCTTGTTCAAACATAACTTGTAACATGATATTGGCCGTTGTTTCCTTGCTYTAGCAAGGAGAAAACAAGGAGATGAAAGGCAATTGCTTAGATGGTTTGGGAGTATCTATACTTTAGAGTTTGGTAGARACTCCCTGTGTGCAAAAATATGGAATGGCTCAGAAATGCCATGCTTTAAAAATAATAGAAAAAGTTAAAGTAAGACACTGTGTTCAGGTAAGCATTCATAAAATAGTCATGGAAGGTCTCACTGCTAACCAGTTTGAAGATGCTATTCTTCCATTCTAAATAAATATTGAGAGCTGTCAGGTCAACCTATCCAGTGTGTTAATACGTGTTTGTTATTTTTAGTGCTGGTGTTTACTGTGACAAAATTGAGTAGTATTTCTTTATAGGCTTATGTTCTGTAGCAGGTCTACCTGACCACTTATGTTTCCAGAGGACTTAGTATTACAGAGCTCTTAAAACTTACAGGTAAAGCTTGCATGATCAAAGGCCAGTTACTGTTATGGTAACTTTAATTTTGTTTTCTAGATCTGTGAGAAAAGCAATACTTTCTTCTGCTCCTCCTTAAGTATTTGCAGTTAACATATTTCATGTAAAAAGAAGAAATGTTAAATTCATTTCCTCTTTGTAGAGAGACAGGAACAGGATTCTTAAAAATAAAGTATTTCACAACATTTGTTAAAACTTGCCCTTTGTGCTGCCTTGTGAATGGTGTCTGTTGATAGCAGCAATCTGAAGAGTGCCATAACAGTCTGTATTAATGTATACAGAGGCTGTCTCAGTTCACCCATAAAATTACCAACATACCAATTTTGCACAMATTAGTAAAGAATAATAAAATCACCATTTAAGCATGCCTTTAATCTTGAATCTTTTGGTTTGAACACAGGTAGCTCGAGAAGTGGATGTATTCTTATTATGAATCTGTACTTTTATGATGTATTTTTTTTCGGCTTGGGTCATGACCTTTACAGTCAGTAAATGCAGGTAAATGTAAAGAGGGTATTGTCAGTTCTGTGTCCATTATTGTTGTTTCCTGGATTTATTTGAGGCTCCTTTTTCTTTCGATAAGTTTTCATCTTGAGAAAGACTAGATGGAGTGAGGTATTGTGTCTTTCAGCCATATGTGGTGATGTCTTTGCTTTGATTGTGGAGTTGCAGAGTAAAAGGTAATCCTAATGGAAAAAGACTCCTTTGAAGTCATCCAAGAGAATACATTAATGTGATTCTTTGGGTTATCCAGTAATAACTCACCTCTGTCCCCTTGCAAGAATTATGTAGTGCTTAAATTAAGTTTTTGGTTGCGCTGGTCTGTAGATGGTTTCTCCTGACTTCAAACCTGTGATGATTCATTTTGTATGTATTTGTAAGCAGCATGAATAGCCTCAAAGTATGACCTGCRCAAATATTCTTGGTTAGGGCAAGACTTGTGTGGATATGTACTGCAGTACATAATAATTTGGAAAGATGTTTTATTGAATTATTTTTCGAAGAGCTGTGTTTTCAGCTGGGGTGATTTTCATATCCCTACTTTCACAGCTGCAGTGTTTCAGCAAAATCACTTAACACAAGCAAAAGCCTTTGATTTACTTTTTTTGACACCAAAGGTATTTTAGTGATGATCAAGTCATTGAGTAAGTGATCAAATCTAGTAAATTTTGGGTAATGTCAAATGTATTGTGTGTGCTTAGTCATCCAACTCAAGGATGGTATGACACATTCTRCTCTTGGAGCATCTATGATGCTGCTGTTCCCAGTGCTGTGAGATGAAGTAGGTGCAGTGCCTGGTGAGTTTGTACCTGCATGTGCACACATAAGTGCAAGTAAAGTATAACTGAAGGTGTTTCTAGYGGAAGTTATTTTTGTTACATGGTGTGATTGAAAGACAGGTGGCAAATGGAGTGTGAGACTAAGAGAGGGTTCATACAAAGCCTGAAACATTATCATGAGCACCTTTTGGACTACTTTTGGTTTTAAGGGACATGGTAGAAATATCTGTCTGTGGCTTGTGGTTTTGCAATATCTTCTCCTGTCCCTGTTAGTGACTTTACTCAAACTAAAAAATAAAGCCAAACTGAAAATCTTTGGTGCTACCTAATGCAGTAAACTGATATTAGGGATTTACTTTCAAATCCCTGCCAAAGTTGTCTATTGTTGTCTTTTTTTTTTTTTTTTTTTAAGTTGGAACTCTTTCAGTTGTCTGTATAATTCAAATTTTCGGTAATCTTATTTTTGCATGGGCATAGTAAACTAAACTACTGTCCAAAGGGCAGTAGTGACTGTCTTGTTCTTGTGAGAGGTTGAGAACCATTTTGCAGAGGTTGAATGTGTGAGGATGTCATGGTGCCAGTTCTCATGTGTGAAGCTCTCACCGTAAATGGAAAGCTGAGTTTTGAAGTGCTTGTTTAGACTCGCATGTGCAAATGTTGAAGGTGTTGGTTGAAAACACTCCTACAATAGRTTCTTGTAGTTTGCCAAACCTTCAAGAATCAGTCAAAGTTGGCCTTTGAAAGCCTTTCAAATTGGGAATGTGCTCRTAACACTTAGCAAATTGCTTTTGCCAGCTCCAGACAAATGGTGATAGTGCAGGTGGGTCTGTGGTACTGAATATGCATCCTGGATATCTCCTGTTTTATGTGAGGAAGTGGTTGGTCAGCAACTTCTGTGCTGTATCAGTCAGTGTTTAAGAGGTGGTTAACCAACTGTGCTTGCTCTTGGTATCCGGGAGACTCACGTGCATAACTTTGGAAAAAAACATCACAAGCATTTTTATTGACTTGGGAATCTGAAATACATGTCACAAAATTCGGTATGTGGGAAGGTGAGACAATGTTACAGTATGATACAGATACAGTTCAAGTTGTGTGGTGAGTTCTTATTGTTTGGCATTCTTGCTCTTTTTTTCGTTTTGAAGATTACTTATACTMGATAGATCACACTGTCTGTCTCAGCTTAATGTCAAAGTGGAAGTAGCATTTCAATATTCTTACACCCCATTGATTACTACTTAGAATGTTTCTCCCTTTTCAAGTATTTCATAACAGCCAGCATGGCACTAGAGTATAAAAGTGAAAAATGCCATCTCTGTTAAAGCTATATACAGCTTTGTATTTTCAGGAAGCCTTATTTCTTCAGTTTCTGTTGGGCTTTATTTTATTAAGGGCCTGAATTCAAAGTAGTGGTGTTTYAAAACCTGAATTACAAGTTTTGTCCTAATCTAGCTCTATTGCAAGGAAAATTACTTCTCCTTTTGGTCTTTTCAGAGAATTGTGTAAACCAGGGGGCTTTTTAAGCAAATAGCAAAGTCTTAAATGAGGGAGAGGTCATTCTGCTGCAGTCAGAATGTTGAGCAGCCTGGCTGTTACAGCTCAAGTACAGATTTTTTCCTACCTGCATGGGGGCTTGCTGGTAGATCATTAAGAGTGTTTTCTTGAAAACACCTTTCAGCAGATTCTGTGCAATCAATCTTKTTCTACTTTCATAATGAAATGCTCTCAAATGAAATTGTATATGCACTAAAGTGTATATTAATTTGAAAAGTGGGTCAAGTTCTGTGAAATAATGTTTGATCTAGGGACAAATTGAGATGTTTTTAAAAAAAAAAACCTGTTACTATTAGTATTTGTCTTGGATGTTGTGGCAGGAAAAATTTGAATGGTTTAATGAACTGTATTCAGTATTRGCTGTTTCTTACCAGATGTGGTAAAAAGGTCCACAGCATTGGTGGTATTTTAATCTTGTTGCAGCTTTAAGCTTTCATTTTTTGATTCCTTGGTTACCTATTCCTAAGGTAATTTGCCCTCAAGTCTCATCTGATTGAACAATTCTTCCTGGTTTACAGTATCACAGCTACATTACAAAAGGGCTTGTTTTGTTCTCTGTATGTTATTTGTCACATTGGTATAAATCCTCAAGTGTRATTCTTTGTGTTCWGTGGGGAGTTTGTATACTTTGGCTTGATTCAAGATATATGGACGTATTTTCCTAGCATTTGAAAGAGTTATGGATTTGTTTTGTTCTTTCACATTGGGCACAGGATCAATAATAGTTGATAAATAGGAGGTGGTTGGGTTTTGTTGCCTTTTTTTTTTTTTTACCTAGATGTTGTGCAAGTTATGAAAGAAATATAGAACTTGTCTTTCATGTGGGTGTTCTTGAAGTTCAGCTTGCAGAAATAGTAAACCAGGCACTAGGCTTTTGCGGAGCATTGTG